GAGGGGGGGTGTGTGTGTGTATGCTCTCCACTTGCTCATTCACACTTACTGAGAGTTGACTACTTATTTTTTGCTATTTTGCTTTTACTCATATTTTCACCAACTTTAAATGCTCTTTCTTTTCTTTTGAAATCCTAACATCTTTTTACTCCTTCAGAGAGCATTAATCAGACCTTCATGTAATTCCCTTTCTAGTGTGCATTTTATTCTTCCTTGTATTTTAGTTAGGTGATTTTTTTTTTTTAACCATCTTTCCTACTATTTTTCAGTGAGCATGTCTGTTTACCTTAGCAGCCTTGTATAGTACAGAGAGTTTAGATAGTTAATGAAAGTGGTGAATCAGAGACTGAATGAATGACTGCTAAAAAAGACCTCCATTTTCTTCTTACTGTTAGCATTTTACCTTCTGAAATACTAGAAAAATACATATGCTTATATGGGCTTCACTAAACTGAGGTGAATTAACTAAGATATACATTCAAGATACAGGGACCATCTGGTATTTGTTATAGTGACATACTCCGGAATATCTTTCATCTGTTTTTCACAGCTACAAGTCATAGGAATTACATTTATAAATATTTCTCACTGTGTTACATAAAATCTTTCTATTTTATTTATATTCTATTTAAAATGAATGTTTTATTGTATTCTGCTTATTAGTAAACTATCCATATTAATTATCCCTTTGTTAGAAATAAGGAATAAGTCTTTCTAATCTGACACTAGACCAGTGTCAGAATCTGATTGCTTACATGAGTGGTCTACTTAATGGAGAGCTGATTGTCTGGAAAATGTATTGCGACACCATATTTTATTCTTTCAGAAACAGGTGGGTGAGATGAAACTACAGCTTGAAAATGTCATCAAGGAAAATGAAAGGTAAATCAATTAACTATTGGTTTTATCTTTTATTGTCTTAGGTAACTTTTATTTTTGTTATTTGATATTTGATAGCTATAGCATTAATAGTTAAGAATGTGGACTCTGGGGCCTGATTTTTCTATTTGACTCCTGGCTCAATTACTTGTTAGCCGTGTGACCCTGAACAGGTTACTTCCCTTTCTGTTTTAGTGTCCTCTTCTATAAATCAGATATCATAATAGAACCTATTTCATAGGGCTGACTGTAAGGGATAAAGTAAGTACTTGGAGTAGGGTACAAAATAAGCACCTTACAAATATTAGCAATCAATAATGTAGTATATAACATATATGTATGTTGGAAAACATATTGATAAAATGAAAACTTCTCAACATACCACTCAGCTTGAGTGTTAAAATGTTGCCAATACTCGTGCATCTATCCATGGTTTTCTTCCATTTCCCGTCCTTCTCTTTCTCTCTGCCAGAGATAAACACTATCTTGAATTTTGTGTTTATTATTCCCTTGCTTTTACAGTTTTTTTATAGGTATGTGTATCTCCAAGCAATATACTTTTTAGTTTTATATTTTTAAAGACTGTATAAAAATGGTATCTAGTGTTCTAGGACTTTTTTATTCAATAACACACACAAGTGCAAGAGTTTCAAGGAAGGAAGTTGCTGGATTATAGGTTATATGAATATCAATTTTGCAATATAATATCAACTTAATTTCCAAAATAGCTATACCAATTTATACTCTTACCAGTGATATTTATGAGTTTATATTGATCCATATCTTTTAATATCTGTAGCTCTTGTTAAGCTTCCTAATTTTCATCATTTTGACTGTTAAATACTTTTTTATTGTGGTTTTAATTTGCATTTTCCTGAATACTAATA